GAAGTACTTCAATTACCCAGCGGAGAAGGAAACAACAACGAATTAAAACATGAGCCAACATGAAAGCACCATCGACGAGCGCAAGAGTGATTACAAAGTGACCACAGAGCAGCMAAAAAACGACCAAGTTTTATCAGTCGAAGACTGGAATGATGCGTATTTGGCACATCAATATCGCCTATCTCTCCCATCCTCTCCAACTCAATCTAATTTYCGAGTGCTTGCACTTTTGTTTTACGAAGAGAAATACGATGGGAACGGATCTCCGATGGCAACCTCGCACCTTCCCCCATGGGTCAAACAGATGGTAGGGGATCGCAACTTCATTGTAGGAACGAACGACGAGCCAGGRTATATKGGAGGGGCAATTTGTGCGGAACGGGCAGCAATGGTCCAATTGAGATTCGTCCCGGCCTTTCGTATTACTAAGCTGGTCATCGCAACGGATTGCGAAACCGTGCCAATTTCTCCTGGCATGCTATGCAGAGAATTCTTAGCGGGACACGGAGAAAGCGTGCCGTGGGACCTAAAGGTCATCAGCACCGGTAGTCAGTGTACACGATGTAAACGAAAAGACGAAGACATCATTCGGCCATTGAAGGGATTRCAATCAGCGAAAGAAGATGGCGATAAATCGTATTGCTGCATTGAAGGGCATGAAGGGCACTCGCTGCCTACACTTAGGACGACGATTGCCGAATTGTATCCGTTTCCATCACCGTATACCCGGCTGACCGCGTCGCAATCTGTCGCGTTGGGAACCAAATTTGGCGAGAGCTCGCATCGCAACCGCCACTTAGATTATCTAGATTCTACAGCCAAACGGTTGCTCGAATTAGCAATTTCGGRGGCTCAACAAAGTGTTTTGAACGAGGCCGGACGAGAAAACCACCCGATTCATTTTGGTGCAGCCGTCGCCTTTGAAGATCAGAGCATATCCACGAGCAATCAGCGGAGCGCGTTGGAATATGGATGCAGCCTGGATGCTGTGTCGCAGCTAGTGCCATACATAGAGGACTCGGATTGTCCCCCCGTTTTGATAGTGCAGGTAGAYCAGTATGGTGTCGCGCATTCTCCATTTGCCCCGGCGCGAGCGTATCTTAGCGAACACGGTTACGAAGACTGCCGCATCATCGTCCATTCTACAGATATCAACGACGTAACTTGTTTAGACAAGTGGRACCTTATTAAGGTACRAGTGGCCAACCTGGCTCCTACTCCACCGGCTTGGACGATGAGCGAGAGCACGGATAAAATCAGGACGYCTTCGGACATCGACGATCCTTGCGATTCGTGACATTTCGGAACGCGATGGATAATGCAACTMTTTTTTAAAAAAAGTTTCTTTGCCTACAATAGTATAGAGGATRTATGTTTAGCCCGAAAAMAMGAACTATTAAAAATCGGCACTCTGATTATTGAAGGCCCATCTTTGATAGTATGGCTCTAACGTTGGTTAGAGATCGATGAAAGTCTATTTTCTATTATTTTTGTGCATGAATGCTATTTKAAACAATATGCGTGCCAACCACGTTTTTGTTTCGTTTTGGCATACATCTCCATCACACCCGGGAAACCCTTGCAACAGCACTAGCGTAGCTGACGCTGCTCTCCCTCATCGATCGYACCTGTGACGACTGGGCGTACTTGTTGAATTCAATATCCAATGCCGCATTAGTGTTTGTGACGCTGCTTGCAGTTTCGGAATGGACCACCGCATTCAGCCAAGTTTGAATGGCGTGCCTGCCGCATATGGTGTTTCTCGTGTTCYTCAGATATTCCGCAAAGGCACCCGGTTCCTTCATTTCGATGTGGCGCATTCCCTCGCGATCYAGGTTCTGGATGTATTCGAATATTTCCATAGTGGTCGTCTTGGTTCCCGCTGCTGCTGTTGGTGCCGTCGCTTCTGTGGGTTGGTACCGAAACCGGCTTCCCCAGTGACAAAAGTCCGTCGAGACGATCGAAACCACGTCCTTTCTTGCCACGATTTTGGTCAGCAATTTGCCGTACTCTRACTCCTTGACATTCGAGATGCTACCGCACATAATGGGTAGTATCGGGATGGGCAAAGAGGCCCCGCCTTTTCTCTGTTTCGCATTCCGGAGAACCTTGGCGATGTACGGGTACTGCATCTCCCCGCTGTGCTCCGCCTCGTCGGTATCCCGGTCCATCACCGTAAAGGCCGCTTCTCCCCCGAGGCTGCCAGATTTTTTCAGGGACAAAATTTCGTCACGGAGTTCCGCGTCCACAGGCAGGTCCCCGAGAGGTGTTTCGATGGCGCTTGCCCCGCTGACGGCGCACCCGTTGAGGTACACGTGGTGGGAGGGATGAAAGACCAGGATGCGCCGAACGGGTGACTCATGCTTGGAGAGTTCTTCCTCAAGAGCCCGGTATCCGTAGGCCGCCGTGGGTCCCGAGTACGAGAATCCGGCGTGTGGACAAATGATGGCACGGAGGGAGGACAGCGAAGACGATTCGGAGTCCTCCTGCCTCTCGTCGCCCCCTTCTTCAGCTGCTGCTGCTAGATACCGCGAGAGAGTCTGATCGAGGGCACTCTCGTCGTCGGAATACCACGATCCGGCATGGGAAGCACGTCGATAGTATCCCCCACTCATTTCGTTGATGTTGTCTTTGTCRGCAGCTGTATTGAAGTTTTTTGCCTTTCCAGAAGCACTCCCCATAGCCAGGTAATAGCGTTACCGAAACGAAGGAGTAGTCTCAAACGCTATCGACTTGACTTTTGATACTGTGTTGCGGAATATCCCAAGTGACTAGTACGAGTAGTAACTGTTTCGATCTGATGTTTTTCACCAAGAGTCAAGAAGGAGGCTAGAAGGAGGCTAGAAGAACAAGCACCTTCGTTCACATCAACAGAACAAACTCTTGGTTCGAATAAGCCACGGTAAGTACTAGTAGGCGATGCACCATTCTGYACGGAGTCAAAAGAGCGCAAAGATCCTAAATATCGAACAGTATGTTGTCAAGAGAAAGTTAACGGTTATTTACCGTTCTCCTTCAAGATTTCGAAGTATCTTGAACCTGCACCAWACGGTACGAACGTAAATCCGGAGGTACGGTAATYGTACGTTGTACCTGTACCTGGTACGTTACAATGAATTGTAGACTTCGAACTAKTGTACGTACCGGTACGACCTAAGGTACACTACGACCCCTCCTTCGCAAAGGATCTCTCAACGACAGACAGACAGAAAGAACCAAAACTGTTTGAGTCGAGCCAGTCGATAATGCCTTCACGGATACCGATATTCCTTTTGTTCTTCTTCACGTTGAAGAACAAAGGACAGCTGTCGTTCCCCTCGCGTCGGTGTGCGACACCGTTCGGAGATGCTACTACGCAGGAATGCTCGGTATTCTACGGGGTAGGCRTGGCTAGTCCTTTTCTACAATGACATCTACGAGTTGACTGTACCAGACCTCTCTTTTTAGAGAAAAAGAAAAACGCCATCAAAACCGATGATCGTGCGGTAAACCAATCGCGTGCGGATACGGGTGTTGACGGGGAAGGGGTGCCGAACGAGGAGCCAAAAAGGGAGAAAGAAGGACGGCGCTTCCTCAAAACGATTTTTGGATCAACTCCCGTACCGCAATCGTTGGCCCACCCTGGACCAATCGCAGCAGCAACAAGCAACAGAAACAACAACAGCAAGAWATAGCAGCGAAACAATGCTTTCTCGCATAGCAGAATCCGCACTAGCTATTGCCAGAGCCCGAGTCGGTGCAGCCACCGTTGGAGCTCGCACCGGCCGATCGGCGTTTTCGTCCCAGGTCAGCAGGAGCTACGCCGCCGCACCGGTGAGCCCCCTCAATGCCTTTGCGCAAACATGGTACAATCTGTACGTACAGCTAACAATTGTAAATGATTTAGCGAGTGCAAGTGTCAATCGATAGTTCGAGGTTYCATCGGAATCCAGAACAGGAAAGCACGAGATGCAATTCAATACAATTCCACTCTACCTTCCGTTGTCAGTCACTATCATTATTTTCCAATTSAAAACCTTACCAATCTATTTTGTTCTTTGCCAAAATTTGAAATTTGTTGCCTTGCGTTCGTTGCAACTTCCCGCATACATATTTACCGATGGCTGCAATACGCTGTGGCGTTGAACACCTTTAATGTGCATAAAACAAAACTTTTTCCAATAATCCAAAAACTGGAACGGCTCACTTGCAACAATCGCAACGTGTGCAGCTTTGGCTCGAGCACCGCCCGATATGCAACCTTTCTAGCTGTAGGCGTCATTSTGGCCGAGATGGGAACAAATTCGTTGACCGATTACCTGTGGGAAGCAAATAACAAGGGGAAAACCTACAAGCAGGTTGACTGGAGCAAATTTGATCCTGAAGATGAGGATGAGGAGGACGACGATGATGATGACGACGACGACGACGATGATGAYGACGACGACGACGAATAGGCACTCATTTTCGGTTCGAAGAGAGAAGGAAGAAAATTGGACAATTTGCCAGTCATTCTCAAAAATAGAGTTTTCAGTGTGGCCTCTACGTATATAGTGCAATAATCATACCTCAAAGATTAGATAGATAGGTAAAGGATTTGGTAGAAGGTAGTGAGGGTTCATTCGATTGTTGACTGAAGCAAAAGACCTAGTCACATATTGCAGCAGCAACTACTATGTATGAAATCTCAAAGATATTCTGTTTCTAATAGTAGTATTAAGAACAYGAACACAGTGTCCTTTCCCCTCGTTGGGTGGAGATTGAAGTGGTCCATACTAGTTTTTGTTGAGCATTCTTTGTTATTGGTTGTATGGAAAAATGGGTCCATGCTACCTGTAGTAAGAACTTAACAAGAACGCTTCTCTGGCATTTACCCGCCCCTACTACTCMAAGGAAGGAAGCAATAACAAGAACAATAAAATTCGTCCTAGTAGTAGTTGTACTACTGAATAGCACTGAAGCATGTGACCAGTACTACTGTATACTGTCTTTCTTCTTGATAGTTTTCTTCTTATCATCATTCCGCTGTCAAGAAGAGGAAAGAGGGGGACAGCAATGACACCCACCAGGCAGCACCTCCTCGTCCCCCACAACATCACGACACCAGCTCTTGCTCTTGCTCTTGCTCTTGCTTGTTGTTGTTGTTGTTGTTGTTGTTGTTGTTGTTGTTGTTGTTGTTGTTGTTGTTGTTGTTGTTGTTGTTTGTTCTTTGTGTTGTTGCCCAAAAAGAAGAAGAAGAAGAGCTAGTACTAGAAGAGGTAGTACTACTACTACTACTAGAGCAGGTGTGCGCTTACTAGTAGTATTACTACTACTAGAAGTAATAGTAGGTAAGACGAAGAGTTATCATGATCATTGATCTACTGCTGGCTACTAGGTAGATAGTAGGTAATACTACGGTAGTTCCTTTAAGTACCAGGTACGTATTGAAAGGATTTTGTTCATTCTTAACAGTATTTTCAAAGTCGAGGACCATTAACCCATTTCCTTGTTTTACAAATGACATAAACTCATCTCCTTGCATATTTCTGTTTTTAGTGAATTGTAAACTCATTTCCTTGCATTTTGCAATTTTGTAAACTCATTTCCTTGCATTCTCTAAGTAATCAAAATTCTGCCGTTAAACAACAGGAAAACCAATGCTACCACCACAACGCAGTACACCACAAAACAGTCATAAATTCAACAAAGCAAGAACCAAAAGACCAAGAAGAACCACCATGGTTGGAGGACGCTGGTGATGCTACAGCAGAACACTGGTGATGCAAAAGAATGCTGGGAATGCTGACAAGGTGCAGAGGTTGCTGATACGGAACGCTGATACGGAACGCTGATATGGAACGCTGATACCAAGTGTTGCTGACGATATGGAGGACTGATACAGAGAATGCCAATACAAGTCGCTGATACGGAGGAGGATGCTGACACACATGCTGTTACGAGTCACTGTTACAAGTTGCTGTTACGAAGGATGCTCTGTTACAAGTCGCTGTTACGAAGGATGCTGATACTGAGGATGCTGTTACTATGAGCTGCTGATACCTGATACAAGCCGCTGATACGGAGGATACCAATAGGGAGGCTTGCTGCTGATATGGAGGATGCTGATACTTGCCGCTGATACGGAGGACGCTCCTGTTAGTACAAGCCACTGATACGAGCTGCTGATACGGAGGATGATGCTGATACGGAGGATGCTGTTATGAGCCGCTGATACAGAGGATGCTGATACGGAGGATGCTCACTGATACGGAGGACACTTGCTGATATGGAGGACACTTGCTGATATGGAGGCTTGCTGATATGGAGAGACAACGAGTCACTGATACGGAGGATGCTGATACGGAGGATGCTGATACGGAGGATGCTGATACGGAGGATGCTGATACGAGTTGCTGATACTATTAGATACGATACAATATGATACAGAGGGGATATAAAACGCTAGTACCAATACTATCTCTCCTATTTTCATGCTTTTATTATTATTTCTATTGCAAGGACGAGCACCATGGTCATTGGCGCTTGTCTTGTATTTCAACACTGTATTGTTGTAGTACAGTACATAGTATGGTAGTTTCCTGTTGTTTAATCATGTCGAACTGCTAAGTGATGCATTGGTTTTTCCTGTTGTTTAGAGGCAGAATTTTGATTACTTAGAGAATGCAAGGAAATGAGTTTACAAAATTGCAAAATGCAAGGAAATGAGTTTACAATTCACTAAAAACGGAAATATGCAAGGAAATGAGTTTACKTCATTTGTAAAACAAGGAAATGGGTTAAAAGTCCTCGAAGTCGAAATTCAAACTTCGAAGTTTCTAATTCTTTTTCCTGTCCCGTCCCGTACTGTACGGTACTCGTACTTCAAGAAGGCAAACTACAAAAACAAGTACGTGCTGTATTGTAAAATACTGTACCAGACGTCGAAGTCTCTAAATTATTATGACCCCTGGCGTCCAGTCTGTTTAACCAGGATTCGGGTGTTTCATAATGTCGTACTTTTACTTCTACTACAGAGAACGCAGGCACTATGAGCCCTTCCGGTGAATACTGGGGTACGAGTACCCAACAGAGACTCATGTGTTCTGTGAATCGTCTTCAGTATCTCAACCACTTCTTTTTCTGTGTACAGCGCCTATTCGACCAGCATAGCTCCCRCAAATAGTCCAAGGCATTTAGAAATGGCAGCCTCACCCAACGCAGCAAGGAATCACAAAGAAACTTTATTATCTTGCTGTATCAAAGCATGATGCAACAAAAGCAACGGCGACGTCGACGAAACGAGGAAAATGCTATGAATGCCAGGAGCTATGATGCTTGCGACGAAAGCAAATGTGTCTCGAGAGGTTTGAGTCATCTTTACAATTATTCCTTTACTTGCTATGGGGATAATAAGGACTTCCACATGATGTGTGYAGATGGATACCTACCACAAGTTGTGGATGACGAAGACCTAGTTTTGACTGAGGGACTGAACGACGGAGCTCCTTTATTGCTCAATGTATTCGGTATTTGGGGTGCARKTGGAAGTGATGATTCGAACTTCCAGTATTTCACGTGTTGTCCACCAGATGATCTTTCAGCTGAAACAAAAAATGTTACCAGACATTGTTCAGATCCAATTTTAGGTGAGACGGAGGGCGATTCTAATGCCACCTTCACTTGCGACGAGTACGATATCCAGYCGTATCCCCGTATGATGAAASAGCCTAGATTGTACGTGCATCCCGATGATTGTTTTACGAACAAATTCGAAGGAAATCCCTATATGTGTTGCGATGCCAGCGGAGCCGAAAATGCAGAAAAAATTCTGGAGGATACTGAATGTGTGCCATACCGCACCGAGTCATATGACGAGGCAAAAGCGATGAATAGATACGGCGGTATTATTCCAATCACGTGTGACTTTCCAGACGGAGGATTCAAATTTCCTAGGTTCATAGAAGATGACGGCAGTACCCACCCATCACAATGGTTCCATTACCAATGTTGCAGAAGTGGACCTGCAATTCCACCTTTCATTCATGATTCTCCTTTCAAATTAACAGTATATCCAATACTTGTCTTGTCAGCTCTTGCAGCCATTGGCTCCCTTCTTGTAATCCTGGGATTGACAATTCCATTGGTGATCCAATTGAGAACTGAGGCACACARAAAATTGAATCAGGTACGMGATACTSGAGATTCTGGACAGTCCGTAATTATACCACGTCTACCGGGACGATCACGCGCATCTTTATACTCGACGACAATATGCTCTCAAAGTTCGGGACAACAAACAGCGAGGCAGTCACAGCATAGAACCACAAGCTCCTATTCGCGACAATCACAGTWTTCAAGATCACAGTATTCAAGACCATCATACAGCTCCTACAATTTATATCTGATCTACTTGGCCATACCCGATCTCGCCATGGCACTTTATCAACTATCCATGTCTGCAAGCATGATCAACCAGAAGTTCAATATGAAATTTCACAGCGTAGTTGTCTTTCCCTTGCTGCGCATATTTTCTCACGAAATYGCAATTAACCTGGCATATATGATCTCAGCTATCCTCTATATCAATGCCTTAATGTCATATGAAGTGCTGGTATTGTTACGCTCATTTACTCAGGTCCGAAGGGTTCAGCCACCAAGTCTGACCAAGGTTACCCTGCAAGCATTATCCGTTTATTGCTTTGCAATAATTATGGKCGTCACAGATTTCTTWGTCAGGAGAACGGCTGGTAGAGAATTCCTCGACGGTAATCTGCACCGATCTCAGTCGCTCTTGGCTTGGGGAGGTCGCTATGGGATAACAATACTGGTCATGCCAATTTTGTTTGTCATGTGTGTGTGCATCATAATTTTCTGGAAGGGTTATTTGCCAGCTATAAAAGGGAACAGTCCAAAAGAAAGGGCTCTGAGGGAGCTAGTTTGGTACTTCATTCGTATCGTTGCAGTCATCTTTGGGATCTGGTTACCATTYATATTGCTGGGGGGCTGGACGCTAATGAACCAAGGTGGCATCGGAGACTCATGGTATTTGGCCCTCGTCCAATTATTGGGTCCTATCGGCTCTCTGTTCACCACTTCTGTGATACTGACCAAATCTGATGTAAGGGCGCACACCCTCAACCTGATCACTCTCTCCTATCTTCGTGATTGCTTTCATTCACGCTGTCGCGAAAACCGTGAACACGCAGAAGGAGGCMAGAAGAAAGAAGAGAACGATCGATCACAAAAAAATCAACTGCCATTGTCTTCTGAAAATAGGAGAACCTACACATACGAGGATCCCTGCTCTTTAGAATCTACCGATATGGTCACATTGCAAGCGGTAGCTGAAGGCAGCGATCCAAACAAAACCGAGGACTACAATGCATAGTAAATATTGTATGACAATATTATAAACAAAATTATACATTCAGAAGACARACGACCATACCTTGTACCACATCTTTTGTGTTCATGTGCTATTCTTACTATGAKTAGCACTTGTACCGATGGCTACAACGTACGCCTCGATGGCGTCATCTTCCTCCCTCTTTTCGAAACCTCCTTAGTTTCAGATCTTTTTTTCGGCTAGGACAATCCATATGTTTTGAGTGATTCGATCACTTTATGACCATTATAGTTCCACATTATCATCACCGTAACCGTAGCCATAACTATCGAGCTCGCATGTTTGATCGCGATTTTCTGCTAAGTATTTCAGATGTAARAATTCAATATGCAGATTGCGTTGGCGTTTCCAAAGGATCGTAGCCGGTAAAACATGATGAAGCACGCAGCTACGTGCATCTAGAATCCAGGTTTGTATTTCTCTCCATTCATTGATGTCYCTAGATCATGATTATATTTACACACGCCTATATGGGGGCTTACCATGAATATCGGTTGAAATAAAAATAATGATCATTGCTTGATATAATACTCCTCGTCAAAAGGGAGGGAAACAAATTTTAATCAGTCTTTGCTGCTACCACTGCTCAAGAATCTCATTCGCGCCGAGGGGGTATACACATTGGATTTCGTCGGCGCCGAAGCAGCAGAGGAAGTKGAAGATTCKGGGTCTTCGGTTTCCTTGCTGTCGGTGTCGGCGTCTTCCTCCTTTTTTTGCCAGGGAAGTCCGACTCCACCTGCGCCGCCGCCCTGTTTGATCTTGTCCAGCTGTTCGCCTTTTTGTTTCAAGATTTCGAACAGGCCCGTGCCCTTGTCACGAATGGAATCAAACAATTGCTGCTTGGGATCATGCAGCCGCAGTTGTTGTTGCTGCTGCTGAACCAACTTTGTGATCAGAGCTGCTTCTTCACCGGAACCATTGGAAACGACAGTGTTGTTGTCACCATCGGCTTTCTGGACCGTATTCGAAACCCACTGGGTCACAGCGGATCGGATTTCGTCTACCTTATTTGCGGAATCCGTTGACTTTATGGAAGCATCGGAGGTATCYGCTGCTGCTGATGTTGCCTTAGTCAATTGCAATCCGGCTCCAACTTCTACCAGGCCCAAAATCTTGTTTTTGTCCTCTAGATCGCGCTCAAGCGTACGAATTCGTTCGTCGGTTTGTTCTTTCTCTGCTTCGAGTGTCGTTAGATTCATTTTGGTGTCGACGAGTTGCCCCGAGAGTTTCACAATGTTGGAGTCCATAATCGATTTTTCCGTGATCAGTTTCAGATACTCCCGGGTCATCTGGGACGCATATGGGTAGTCCGTAAGGACGCGTGACCGGCTCCATTTGCGCCGGCGTTTTGCAATGTTTGGCGTGCCCTGTTCCGGAACCCGGAACTCGCCGTAGTATGTGGAAGGATCCGACATGATGCTGGTTTCATTTGAATAGGTCCATCCGTCTTCGTCCGTGTCGTTGTTCTTTTCGACCTTCCAGGCCCCAACCCAAGCCCATCCTCCTCCATCTTCGGGAAGCGGGTATCCCTTGTCGATGTTCAAAATTGTTTTCCCCTCTAGATCGGTCAAGACGCACTGCTTCGGTGGAGCGATGTTGGCGCTGCCAAAACGACGGTGTTTTTTCGTCGCGGCATCGTCGGAGACAATCTTTCCTGGTGAAGGCACAACGATGGGCAGGGTTTTGAAAAAAGTGGGAAAGTAGCGGAGTTCTTTCTGCCACTTCTTGCCGGCGGAATAAAACTGCCATTCGTAAACGTGCTCTTCTCCAAAAACGTACTGCTGTGCACGGGAATCCCACGGCATCACCTCGAGGAGCCGCACGATGTGGATGGGAAGGCTCGGTGGCTGCTGTTTGTTTCGGCGGCCAAACCTTCTCTTTTGTATGTTGTCGTCGGGGGCGTAGGTGGAAAAAGCGGGTCGGTCTTGCGTGATGGCCTCTAGGATTTCTTTGTATCCGTCTCGCTCTGTTTTGACAATCGTGTAGTCCCTCACGGACGCTTCGGACGATTTGGACGATTTGTTCGATTTGGTGGTGCTCTTTTTTCGATGGAACTGGACCTCCTGCTCCAAAACCCGTACCCGGGCTTCCAGCTCGGCACGCTTTTGTCGTTCCCTGTCGAGCTCTTTGAGAACGTCCATGAGAAGACCTTGGTCTTGTTCCAGCACMGACGATTGCTGCGGCTGCGACGACAAACCAGCGGTTTCGTCGCCATTKGTGTTGTTGTGGTCGGACGCAAGAATTTCCGCCGCTGCCTGGCGGGCTCTTCGATCCGAAACGTCGTCGGTTTTCAGACCCAGCTCCGGCGAGATTATCGCAATCTCAGCCAGCTGGGGAGTATCTGTCATGGTGCTCTAGTATTCTTTAACGAGGAGAGCTTGCAACCAAYGCCTACAACCAGTGCCTGTGTCACCGTTTCGATCAGYGAAGCCTCGACGAAGCGGGTTTCRATCGATCAGAGACTGCCCGAAACCACCTAGGGCTCCCGGGTCGTACGAAAAATGATTCTCCGCCCGTGCCGGGATAGCAGCTACAGATGAGGAACTGCTCGAGGAATTAAGGTTTGCTCTTGTGTGCTCGGGTGGTGATTGTAGAATGCGAAGTATAGGCCAGGTTCAACTCGGTTCCGAGTGCAAAGATTGTAGAATCGATCTCTTCGTTTTCTCTGCTAATGCCCATGACGTCTCTCCTCGGACTCGGCACGAGTAAGACTTCTTCGCTGCCGTCATCTCACGATGCAATAGGTGTACTAGGTACGACTAGAAGAAATTTGTAGGGGTTTCGTCGAATCCTCGTGATGTTTCTGTTTCCGTTCGATTCCTTTGTTTCGTAAGGAACTAAAGTAAGTACGTACATACGGCACGCGCCCGTAAAAATGATACTGTAACAGATGTACTATTATGACCGCTTCTACGGTACCAGGTACTACTGTGCTAAGCGCATTAGTGTACTCGTACTCCTGCCTACGTACTTGCCGTACCCTCGGCAGTTCGTTCCCGCAGACCTTGCAGATTGGACAATCGTTTGCGAGTGGTTCGGCTTGCTCGCAATCAGCATCTCATTTTTAACAAAAATTTGGGCKGATTTGTATGTTTGAATTGACTTCTCCGATTCAGAGTGATCACTTTTACCGTACCGTACGGTACGAACCAGGTATTACGGTACTGAACTGACAACTGACACCAAACCTCAGAAAAACGTTTCGAGTCCGCATCGAAGGTACATACGTACTAGTACCAAATACTTGCCGTGCAAAAATGGAAAATGGAACAGAACTTTTCACGAGGAACAACCAGAACTAGCTAGGCCTTGCTTGCTGGAAACGGTGACGACGGTCGACACTTTCCCGTCGACATGGCAATCAAACTCTTACAACTTCATAGCGCACGGCATTGTCCAACAYAGCAGGATAAAAAYCCGAAAGTTCCTCCTTGCAATCRAATCATCGACGCTTCCACAAGGCGAGCACGCAACGCAACACGGCAATAATTTGCGGTTCTTATACCACAACAATGTCGTCGCTCCCGTTGTCGTCGGCATCGCTGTCGCTGCCCGCCATCATGGTTTGCGTGGTAGCAACAGCCGTCAGCAACACGATTCTCCGCCGAATTGCGATGGTGCCGATGGAAAACTATCCGTTGTTCTTGACCATTTGCCAAACCTTTGTCTACGTCACCGTGTACGGGATGTTTCTTGCCTGCCGCATCGATCGAAACCGTGAGCGGGATCGTGGCAGTGGCAGTGGTCCCCGACATCGCCCGGTCACGAGGGAAATGCTGCGGATCCGAAAGCTRCCGTTCTTGTGGATCGGATTGTGCGATTCCCTCGGAGACTTGCTGGGAAACGCGGCCATCGGCAAACTCCCGGGATACCAGCCGCCGCTACTGGCCAAGCTCAACATCGTATTTACGGCACTCTTTTCGAGTGCGCTTCTAGGGGAGAAATACCGGTGCYGCCAGATACTGAGCATGGGGGTGGTCATTTGTGGGAGCTTCGTGACGCTAGTTCCGCTTCTCCGGGACGCCCTGTTGGTTCGGACAGAGGAGACCGAAGGTGCGAGCAGCAACGGTGGAACCGACAACCATGCCCCCGGCAATGGCGATTCGCTAGTTTTGCTCTTTTACGTCTTCGTMTATGTTTCTTCGGTGGCACCAACGGCTCTGGGCTTTGTGCTAAAGGAAAAGATCTTTCGGGAATACGAAGCGTCCTTCGATCTGGATATTTTCGTGGTMAACACCTATACCGCCATTGGTGGGCTGCTGTGCCAGGCCGTCTTCTTCGTTCCGCTGGCGGCGCTGTCGGGGGTCCCATACTCACAGATTTCGCGATACATGGCCGATGGATACCGCTGCTTCACGAACGACGCATTTGGTGACAACACCCATACCGCTGCTGGTGCCGGTGCTGCTAGCACCAGCGGAGATTTCGAGGGCGACCCATCGCAACCAACCCCGTCCTGCTACGGAAGCCCTCTCGCGCCGATCTTGTACCTGGCGGTGAACATTCTCTACAACATTTGCTTCCTGGTGTCGATCAAGTACGGCGGAACCCTGCTTACCTTCATCACGAACACCGTCACGTTTCCCCTTTCCACGTTGTTGTTCACGTGCGGGATCCATTGGCCACTCCTGGGACCGCCCGCCCGATTGAACGGCTGGATACTCGCGGGTCTCGTTGTGGAGWTCACCGGCATTCTATGGTACTACTCCGAGAAGACCAAGCCGGCCTCGTCACCRCCAGGCTTCAAAAACGGCAYGCCCGAAGCACACAGTCTGGTTGCCCACCACCACGGCACCGAGAATCCGAGTTTGTCAGGAAAGACGAACCGCGGGGAGAACAATGGCGCCAGCAGCAACTAYGGATCCATAGAACGTGGTTGATCGAAGCGCCGCCGTTCTTCTGCGTCATTCGCGGTTGCGGCGCAAAGGCTTTCTAGTACCTCACTCAAACGCAAGCAGTGCACATGGAGACACCCGTTTTCGCATGGTGGCTGCATGATGTAATTGGTGTCTAGAGTTTCCACATCATTTCGCTGTCAGGAACCACCCTGCCAAGCGAAAACAGATACCACGCGCTCCGTTACTGTTACTGCTCGGGACGTCGTTTTCGATGGCAACGAGCGCCAGCGGGCCGGATTTTAAAAAATCATGGTACCAAACTAGTAATCTATGGTATGGAACGACGAGACCAGTAAAAAGCATTCTGCGYTCAGGTGTTGTTGTCACCGACAAGTCCYAGAGGAGAAGGGGTGCGAATGACTGGAACAAGCACGAATCTTTGCAACAGATTGCTGTACACGATGACGATGATTATTATTGTAATCATCCGTGATCATTAGTAGTAAGCAGTCATCGAAACAGTAAGAGTCGAAGAAAACCAACCGAACTAGCTAGATATTGATTAGAAGGGCTTTCGATTAAACACTATTACTACTGGTAGTAGTGGTATCAGAATTTCAAGAAGTAGATATCGTACGAACACAACCAATCAAAAAACTAGTAGAAGTACTGTACTATGCTATGAACCACGAATACAAATAATAAGAAATATATACCGTACGAACTCTGGACTTCGTTTTCTGATGAATTCGGATCTTCGTCTGTCTGTGTACGGTAATCGTGTTGTSCTCATGGACTGCATGGTGGATATTTTTTTGAATACAAGGTTTAACCTCGTACCGTGCTTAACGTGTACCTACGGCACGGTACTCTGCTGTGCTGACACAAAAAGAACAAATTTGAGGATACCGAACACATCAGTCACCGCAACAAGAAGGGTCGGAAAGATACTAGGAATTAGAATGAGAGAGCTCTGTAAKGACCGCTCATCTGCCCAGCATTATCGCTCGCTTCATCACATTATTGGATGCTAAAATAATGAGAACTTCTACTGCTGTAGATATTGACACTACTTGCACGGAGGACAACGAGAAGAATGCCATCATGGCGATCCAGTGTCGACAGAACAACGAGGTGTTCCTTCGCAGAAAGTTTGGCCGRGTCGCCGAGGCAGTCATTGTTGCTGCTGGGGCTGCGATTTTTCTGACATGTTCTCTCAATTGCTGCACGGGCATCCATGCCTTCTCGCTTCGRTCTGCAGCGAAAGGATCAACGGCCCGGGTCGCGTCGACGTTCCGCAACGACGACGACCAYCTGCTACCAGGGATCCATTCGTTGCCGTTTGCCAYGACCACTTCCCTTCAAACCYATTACACAACTAACTCCCGTCTTTGGGCCAAAGAAGAAGAGAAAGAAGACGATCGCGGCGATGCAGAACTATACATTGTGTCYTCCGCCTCCAAGAACGTCACCGAGGATCCATCGGTTCCATTCGAGACACCAATGGTGGATGACGACGGCATCGTCACAAACAGGAAACCAACTTCTGGCCCCGCACGAACAGGAGAGCGAGATGTCACCATTCGYGGTGATCGAGACGAAGTAGGACGCAATCCTGTTCCCGRTGCTGCAWTAAAACGTGCGAAGAACGAAGACCTGGATTACGTTACAATTGCGCAAGAAAATCCTTCCMTCGAAACCGACCTTGACAAGACGGTCAATGCAGTTTTTGGGGCCATTGCCTTTTGCCAAAAGATTCCGTCGAAAGTCGAGGAGGCCATTGAAAAGACACAACAACTCCCGGGAAAGGTAACTAAGTCGGTACAAGAGACCAAGAAAAGCGTCGAAGAAACCATCGAAACAACCCAAAARGTTGTTAAAACCGTCCAAGAATTCCCCRACAAGGTCACCAAGTCGGTGCAGGAGACCAAGGAAAGCGTGGAGGAGACAATTGAAACTACCCAAAAGGCCGTAAAAACTGTAGAAGAATTTCCCRGCAAAGTGAAAGAGTCTATTGAAGATACCGCACACGACGTGAAGGTGCTATTCGGATTGGAACGACCGAGTCTCAAAAAACGCATGCAGCAGCAGAAAATCCCAATGACGGCCAAGGAGGAAGCTCTTGATCTGGCTGGGAAGGCAACGGTGGCAACGGCCAAAGTGGCCATCTGGGCCGGCAAGGGAGTRGGTTCGATGGCATGGAAGGGGACAAAGTTGGCGTWCAACAACACGATAGGCCCCGCTGTCGAAGAAACATGGAACGAACAAGTAGCGAGCATAAACAATGCGATCAATGCAACAACGAAAGCCATCCAAGACGTTCCGTCCAAAATAACTTCGCCGAGTTCTGAGGTTTTGGACAAGAGAAAAGACCCAAAACGACCGTCTTTCACACGCAAGAGAGAAAGAAAAGAGACCACGATCGTACCCGATTCCGTTTCCAAAATAATTACGAAGAGTCCCGCTCAGCTGCAAAAGGAGATCAACGATGCACAAAACTTGGCCAAAGAGATCTCCGMTGCATTGGATGCGGCCGAACGAGCCATGAAGATGAACCCGAACAGGGAGCTAGAAGAYCCCATGATCGAGATTGGAGAAGTCTCCCCCGCAGAATCCACATCCAAAGCTGCGGTGCGGCCCTCGACGGCAARGAACAACGGTCCTTTCTGGAACCGAAGKCAAAAACAAAAKAAGACTCCTTCCATCGACGTCTTGGCTCGTTTGAACGTCGCAAAGACCCAAGACCAGCTCGAYGCCGAACTGAAAGAGGAGCAGGCTTTGGAGAAAGAAATCGCGGACGCGCTCGCCATGGCGGAGCAGGCACTGATGAMGTCTGCGCCTGCGAACAGCGGCACCAGCGATGGAGGCAGCGGCGACAGCAAGAAGAACACGGGGGATCAGTCATAGACCGATACCAACACATCAAGAGCAACAGAATGATCCGAYCAAGTCTCTCCCGTCGGCTTCTGCTACGGCACGAATGGTGTAACAGGGTCGCGCTGCAGYGATGGTTTTCCAACCCTTCGCAGCAGAAGTTTGTTCGGTGGATCGGCGCGAACGCGTGTCTGAATCGGTAAGAGCATACCAAAGAATGGATACCRGTAATCCGAAGGTCGTTGCCAAAACCGTTCTCTATTGCACGGGAGTCCATGCAKTCAAGCGATAACGGCTAGGTTTCTCCCGGGCTCACCAAGTCCACTTTGACGAGAAACCATCGTTTGAAGTTTGGATAAACTGGATGGCAGCAGAATTGCATGATTTCAAAGCAACATTGAATACCAAGATTCCAAAGTTCGCGTTCGTGTAGAGAAAACTGCCATTCTGTTCACGAAAAAGATTGTGTGTATAGCATTGATGAAGATAAAACCGATAGAAACAAAAGTACCAACACAACTCTTCAACCTGAACTAGTACTAGTACTAATAATTTCAGCACTGTTAGTAGTAGGTACAGTAGTACGTAGTACTAGTAGTAYTACAATTAGGGTGTCATCTTCCACCCTCATACGACTCTTTATTTCATCCAATGACATGGACCATTTCCACCCTACAGATAGGACCATCCTCTAATACAAGAGGCGACCTCCTATGCATAGTATTGGACTGCCCGTAGATCTTTCATACAGTACTAGGCAACGCAACAGTAAACCGCACTGGGAAGGTGTTCAGTCCCAAAACTCTTGGCAAATTTTTCTACGGAACTCGTACCAGWACCGCACGTACGTACAAACCCCGTACGGTTCGATCAAAAGGAAAGGCGGATTATTTGACTCATTCGATTGCTTCGTCCCACCATTCCAACGACATCGAACAAAACAAAAACCCTTTTGATGTGGTTGTTTGCCATGCGGTGTCGTCGGTACGATGCGCTTTTGGATCGTACCCGACCCGTATCGTACCGTACGGTACGTACGTYCTTGGTACCGTGGGCCGAACGAAGATGGTTTGGTTTTGTTTTGATTGTTTTGTTTTGCACCTGTTCGAAAAGAACCCGGGCGACGCAGAGAACCCACGTTTCCCTTCTGCCGGCCCCGTCTCACACGAATCGACCTTTGAAATAACCGTTGCTCCCGGCAGCATGAACCGCCGCCCCCCGTGTCACCGTGGCCTCGCTTGCTCCCCCGGCACCACTCTAATCCTCCGGGGAACACCGGGGGAGCTGGCGGGCCCCGACGCCAGGAAGATCCTCGGGATCGCCACCGTGTGCGCGGACCTCCCGATCGCGTGCGAGGCGGTTCCGGCGGGAGCCCCGCTGGAAGCCCGCGGCGGCGGGGAACAAGGATTCCTCCCGCCCCTGCCGCCGCCGTCCGGATCGATGGTGCTGGTCCTGAGGGAAAGCGGCAGCGGCGAGGAGATCCCCGTCACGACGTCCCGCGCCATGGCGAAGGCCGTCGCGTCCATGGCGGTGGCGGCGGAGGAAAAGAGCCGCAACCTGATGGGAACGTCTCTGGCGGAGGAGGCCGTGATCGACGGCTGGCTCAACTACTTCTGGGCCTCGRTCGATCTCCCCTTTCACGTTCTGCGCTCCCTCCCGGAAGGCGGGGAAGAGCCAACCGCGACGGACGCACCGGATCCCTCGGTYTCCCAGCGAGCGGCCATAGAGAACGACCTGGCGACCGCCCTYKGGAGGGTGGAAGCGCACCTGCGGTCGCTGGACCGCACCGGGGCGACGGACGCAGGCGAGAACGAGAACGAGCGCCCGGAGGGCCACCGCCCGCGGTACATCGTGCCGATCGCCGGTGCTTCGGACGGTGCATCGATCGAGGGGGCCTCCCGCTACACGCTCGCCGACCTGTGTCTGGCGGTCACGCTCCACTGCATGGTCGAGAAMMAMGTCGCCGTGGCGACCTCGGCGACGAGCGACCAAGAGGCCTTCCCCCGCCTCTCCGACTGGTACCGGAACATGAAAGCGGTGCTCGCACTGCCGTGAGGCGCTCTTTTTCTCGCCGGGGTCCCGGTGGCAGGAGCGGGCGGCAGGGGATCGGTCCCGCCCGCGGGACCGAACCCCGCATCCCACGCAACAGCAGCGCGTGGGAGGTTTTGTGTCCACAACAGAAAGGCCCACGGAGTCGTGACGAATGGTCCTGTTGCCACGGTCGTCCAGCGCTGGCGAGTCGGTTGCAGTCCTTCTTGTGCTRCTGGTACCAGTTGGAAGTTTCTGGTACGAGAACTGGTTGTCGTTCTTTCGGTCCGACCGCACCGGCACGCACGTCCGCTTTCTCCGTTGCTGCGACCGAGTGARGCGCCGGTRCTCGAGGAAGACGACGCGACCAGCGTTTCTCGTACGGTAATRTCGTGGCACTATGGGACCAAATGCTCGCACGCAACAGAATGGCGCACGTCGAATCCGAATTTGTTGGCCACAACGAATAGTGTTGCATCATTCCTATGAAGGTATTAATAACTAATTCTACTAGTAGAACGTTACAATAATACAGCCCTCTCGTCGTCGACGCTCTAGCAACGGCTCCGCAGCTGAAGGACTGGAGGAACAAATAATAATATATAAATCTGACAATCTGACAAGGTGCAGATTGTGACAAGTAGAAGTAAAAGTACCGTATTCGATACGGTAGACAAGAGACTAGAGATGTCATCAAGAATCAAGAGACTACGTACTCGTGCAACATACTGTACAAGATACGAAACATACAAACAGAGCCTATCGAACGTGCGACGGACAGGATGTGACTCCTCCAGGGATTTTGAAAAAAATGRCGCATCTGCGCCSCACAAGGTCACTACTCGTACCGGTAGGGGAAACAAACATCATMCCCGCAGCGCACAGACATAGATTTTGAATTTTTTTCGGAAGCAGGAGAGGCGGGCAGCGCAGGAGGAGGGAGGACAACGACAGGTTTGGGATTCTGCTTTGCGGCGGTGCGATATGTGCCGTACTGACCGTACGGTACGGTACGTACGAAGTCGAGTGACAAATACCAAAACAACATGCCGCTTGCTCGTTCCTTTTGTGCTGCAAGTTTCCAAGAATTCTGGTTGGGTGGGGTACGGTGCAACACGCGTCAAGTCACAACCACAACGAACTCCGAAGCAGCTTCCCCAAAATCACGGCAGTTGCTCGTCGATAACACTGCGACAAACCACTCCACAATAGAACCATGTCGACCGAAGAGGTGAGTCTAGGTAATCGCCCAATSCGTTCCACCACGACGRTGAACAAGTATGATGATTCGATTGGATTGGATTGGTTTGGATTGGTTTGAATTGGATCGAATCCAATTCGAATTCGAATTCGATTCGATTTGTTCCTTCGCACTGCTCCTGCCACGATGCCCAAGAACGCCACTCACCGTGCCACTCTCTCTCTCTCTCTCTCTCTCTCTTGCGATTCCACTGCGTTTGCCTCCGCCTCCGACCGCTGGTAGCTTGCCGACGAACTCGCCGCCAAGTGCAGCACGGGTGGGGTCATGCTGAACGGCCCCGCGCCCCCGGTGCAGAACAACCTGTACCGCCGCCACCGCATCCGGATCAAGGAGCTCCTCGCAAACGACGGGGCCGCACACCTCAACCAGAYCGTCACGGTTGCCGGATGGGCCCGAACCACGCGCAACGCCAACAAGGGCCAGCTACTGTTCGTAGAACTCAACGACGGGTCCACCGGGGAATCGATCCAGTGCGTCCTCGATGCCGAAAAAACGGAGGGCTTTGCCGAGTGCAAGGCGTCCGGCGGTACCGGGGCCTCCTTCCAGATGGTKGGAACCCTCATCCCCAGCCAGGGCGCGGGACAGGCCGTGGAGGTCGCCGTCACCACCGGCAAGCTCCTGGGAGCCGTCTACGGAGGAAACCAGCAGGGAACGGAGGTCGGCGGGGCCTTTTACGCCATGAGCAAAAAGGCCCACACCCTGGAGCACATGCGGGACCACGCCCACCTGCGGCCGAGGGGACGGGTCCACGCCGCGGCCATGCGCATCCGCCACTCGATGGCCTACGCGACGCACACCTTCTTCCACAACCACGGCTTTTTGTACATCCACACGCCGATCCTAACCGGGGCCGATTGCGAGGGCGCCGGGGAGCAGTTTGGCGTCACGACGATGCTGGGATCGGACCACCTCGCCACCGACATTGAGCTTTCGAAGATCGAGCCCCCGCCGGTACGCACTGTCTTGCTTGTTTTCTTTCGTTTTGTGTTCTTTCGTTTTGTTGGCCGCAGCGTTGGCACATTGTGCCAACGAATCCGTTTCGAAAACTGGTTGCCTCTATTCTCACGCGTTCTCTTCTCAATGGCACCAAATCCAATGCAATGCAAACCGATTGAGCAGGTTGAAGACCTCTCGAAGCTTTCGAAGAGCGAACTCAAGCGCCGGGCCAAAAAGGCGGAGAARGAAAAAGCAAAGATCGATCCCACCAAACCTGTCGAGGAACACGTAGTTGGTGCCGTAGACTATTCCAAGGATTTCTTTGGAAAGCGCGTCAACCTGACCGTCTCGGGGCAGCTGAACGTGGAAACCCACGCCTGCGCTCTGTCGGACGTCTACACCTTTGGCCCGACCTTCCGCGCCGAAAACTCCCACACGGGGCGCCACCTTGCCGAGTTCTGGATGATCGAGCCCGAGATTTGCTTTGCCGACCTYGCGGACGACATCAACCTGGCCGAGGACTACCTCAAGTATTGCGTGCGATTTGCCCTCGAGAACTGCGCCGAAGACCTTGAATTTTTCGAAAACAGTCCCCACGGAGAGGTCGGCCTACGGGACCGATTGAAGAACGTTTTGGACAACCCCTTCAAGGTACGTAACCACAAGAGGGCACGCGCGAAGGACAGAGATGTTGTTTTTTTTTTCGAGAAACTTTTGGGAAACGGGAGGGAAGGAAGTAYATCGGCCGTCGGTTGTATTTCCGAAGGGAACTGCAAAACCCACACTGTTCCTGCCACCTCTTGTAATGACGAAGAAAACGCATTGGGAATCTCTCTGAAATTATCATTTCGTGACGAACCTGCATAAATCATCATTCAAAAATCTTCGGAACAAGAGGACGGTTGGTGGTTCTTTGTCCCGTGCTTCCAACTTTGTTGTTTTATATCCAATCGACGCATCTCTTGTAATGAGGAAGAAAACGCAATGGGAATCTCTCTGAAATTTCATTTCATGACGAACCTGCAAAAATCATCATTCAAAATCTACCGAACAAGAGAACGGTCCGCGCTCATCAAATTCGTATTCGTTTCGTCCYRTRTCGAGTGGATCTTGTGCTTTTGGATYATTTTCTAACTCTCTCCTCCGTGTGCTTTCAATCACTTTTGACCGCAGCGACTGACTTACACCGAGGCGATCGAAGTTTTGCAAAAAGCAGTCAAAGAAGATGGTGTYGAGTTCGAAGAAGAGCCTGTATGGGGTATCGACCTTCCGTCCGAGCACGAGCGTTACTTGTGTGAAAAGGTATACAAGAAACCCGTTGTGTTGATGGATTACCCCAAAGACATCAAGGCCTTTTACATGAAATTGAACGATGACGAAAAGACGGTTGCCGCAGCGGACATTTTGGTTCCAAAGATTGGTGAAATCATTGGAGGATCGCAGCGCGAGCATCGCATGGATGTATTGAAGAGGCGTTGCGAAGAAATGGGACTTGACCCCCGACAGGTTTGGTGGTATCTGGATCTTCGTCGGTACGGAACAGTGCCCCACGCCGGGTTCGGTCTTGGCTTTGAGCGTTTGATCCTGTTCGTCACCGGACTCCAGAACATTCGCGATGTCATTCCGTTCCCTCGATACCCTCAGAATGCCGAGTTCTAGGCTAGATTATCGACATGTTSCACGACATTTTTTGYACCTGCTTTGCAACGATGTGGTGAACRGAAAACGAATCAATCCAACCTTTTGGGATGACCTATTATTATTTCCATCCTTAAATAGAGGGCATCCTATTATGCAAAAATGGTATTCTAATTCTCATTCATGCTTCACTTTAAGTAGGAGMGATGCATCCTGGCTATGACTAGTCTATTGTAGAATTGTTTTTATGGAGTCGCCGCGTCCAATTTGCATTAGAAATTACTTTTACTTGGCTGCTTCCGTTCGTTCTTCCATCGCTCTCTTACCCTCCAGTTGCTCTGGAGTCAAAGAAGACTCCTTGATCAACTCCGCTTGGTCCAGCGAGTTGTCTTCCTGTGATACAACAATAGGAGCATTRCTCTTGATGTTTGATGTCGCTCCGAGTTTGACTCCAGCAGGAGGCAAGTATCGTCCCTTGGCCCATGCACGTACACGAGCCTTGTCAATCCCTCCGGCTTTCGMCTTGTCGTCRTCGGTTTCCTTTTTGAAAGCGTTTTCTTTGAATAACGAGCTGTGGACGACCTGTAGGGATTCTCTGTGATATAAAAATGGTGCTCCCTGCTGCATCGTCAACAGTTGCATTGTGGCTTGAGCCGCTGAATCTCGTGCGATRTCCAATCGCTCGACGCGAACTCCCAGTTCTCGCTCAACCTCCGAAACAACTTTCTCCATTTCGTCGCATTCCGCAACATTTCCCTTCGGATATGTAAAGAAAACCAGTGGCGTGTACTCATTTTTGTTGAATTTCGACAAGAGTGGAACGTTGCTGAACCAATTCTTTCGGCTCTCAACCTGCATGAACAGGCAAGCCAGAAGTAGAARAGAACACGAAATCGTTACACGCGCCATTGTTGTCATAAATTTGCAGTTGATATTGCTGTGATTTAGTCTGGGGATGTCTGAATACGGGCTCTCCTTCAGGAGTTGCTCCAGATTGCTTTCTCTTTYGCTTTTGGATGCTATCGCAGTGCATCAGAAGACGTAGTACGAGYACTAGTAATYAACGTAGATTACCGTAGCTCCATGTCGCAATCAAGATCGATGGCCGATTACGATCGATGGGGTTTCATCAAAGCTTACTCGGCGTGCTCTTCCGCGTGGCGACGTAGTTTCCYCGACGAATGACTAGCTCGACTAAAATCCAAAACGAATTGAGGGTGCAAAAAAATCTGAACTCCAACAGTACGTACGTAAGTACGTACGTACGTATTACCCGTACATTTACTGTAGGACACTGTACTTGCTAAAGATGTATTCATACGAACCTCACCTAGCCGTATTATTGTTTACTTCTACCAAATTCCTATCCTATCGTACGATGCTTTACTGCTGCTGCAGATTTCGTTCTAGCAATACTAGTTACAATCTGGAATATAGATTGACATAACCAAATAGAAATACGGTTTCTCTGTCATGACGGTGCAATGACCTAAAGCTACAACAGGTGTTGTACTCGTAGCAGCAAGAGTAATCAGGATACATACAAAGATGCGGTCTACCCTGTGTGAGCTCCGAACTAAGTAGTTTCAATTTTTGCCCGTTGACTTATTGTATCAACTGCCAACTCCTGAATATTTGGATTCCTCCAGAAGGTTGATCCCAGAACAATCACATGCGGGAAATTATTGTCCCTTTCTTGGGCTTGGCTKGCATTCCCATTCTTTTCTTCGACGCTATCGGCATACCACCACGGTAATCTAAAGGACTGGAACCGCCAATGCTCCGAAATGCTGGACAATTCAACGATACTAGTAGAATGTGARGAGGAACTCTTCGGCGGAAGGACTGTAGGAGTACTACCAGATTTTTCGGCAGCGTTGCTAATGGTAGGTAACCGAACAGTGCAACCCACGGGATACGACTCTTCTGGGTTCTCRGGRRTACCGCGACCTCGTCGTTGGCCCCCCGSYTCGTTTTTATGCTTCCGTCGCCGTTCTCGCTGTACTTCCTCCCAAAGYGTATCGGAGAAAATGCAACCCGATAGCCCCGTATCGAAGACTGCWATGAGCGGGCGAGACAGCGACACACCGTTTTCACCTTTGAGCGGAGRCGTACAAATGTTAGATCCATTCTCTTGAACGCAATCGAACGAGATCGAATCGTTCCCGRCCCACCRGCATTCGAATCGRTCACAAAGCACGGCATAGTGGTGCAAATTYGGGCCGAATGGGGTCAGATCGAAAAGCTTCATCGAGCAMGGATCAAATGGGTCTACGAGGGGTGTAGCGGGATTGGTCTTCCCGCTGTCGTTTTGTTTTCCGTTCCAYAAGACRAGCGTAGCCGGATCCGTGTTGCYTTTGTCTTTTTTCCTGCTTCCCGACGAAAGACTTGCCTCGTTCTCCCCGAATCGCATCACAAACGCATCGTACCCGAGTTGTTGCAGGGTGGTCGGACGAGCGCCATCGACCGTCATAAGACCGAAGAAAATCCCACCGGTCTCTGTTATCACGTCTTCCGAGGGAACTCCGACAGTAAAAACGCTTTCGTCTTGAATGACAATTGGTTCGATCTCGGATTCTCCTAACAGTCGGACCCCTTTCGGAGTGTCAACACCGGAATCACTGCGAGAACAACAAATCTTTCCATTTTCGTCGCATGCATAATCTTTGATGCCCCGAGCGACGATATCGKCGACCTTGCCATTCCCCACCAGCGTCAAGTGCGGCGCAATTCTCCACTGGACCCCGCCTACTGTATTGCCGTATTGTTCATAGCTCGTGTCGTCGTCGTGGTGGCTATCGCCGAGCCGGAAGCTTTCCTTCGAACGGAAAAGCATCGTGGTCTTCTTCGGCCCTAGATTTCCCCCCCGTTTGGATGTCRCGGACCTTTGTTTCGTCTGCCGGAGGGCGCCCGCGGCGCCCGGCGGTGCCGTCAGAAACGGCGATCCCGTGTCCACAACGGCKAGGTAGTCGAAAAACTCGTCGTCGTCGGAGCTCAGGGTAACGGGTACGGCCCAGCACCCGCTCACGGGAAGTGACCGCAGCGCCAGCGACAAGACRCGGGCACGGGGCGCATTGCCAACGATGCCAGAAGCATCCTCAGCATTGCTAATCGTTCGTGGCTCCATGGCGGTTGCCACGGTGGGATTGCCACTGTGGACGCCCGCKATTACAGCACTGGTCGTCGCAACCCGGGAACAAACCGTGGACAAGAAATGTTGTCGCGTCGTTGTAGCTGTCGCGAGTGTTTTGGTTTCGCCCTCGTAATCGTCCCGGGTTTGCCGTTTCATCGACAACGCCACGCACCGCAAAGATGCATARGGGTGCGGTATGGTTTTCCTTTTCATCGCCTGGACCTCGAAACCATCACGACCTCGGTAGCCATAGAAGTCGTCTAGGCTACCATCGCCACATTTGTACTTAATGTTGATTGTGCTCCCTCTTGCCGTAGACAACAATAGAGCTGTCGATCCATAACAAAAACAGCAAACCGAGAACGTCGATAGCAGCAGTCGACGTTGCAGCAACATGAGAAGTTATGCCCTGAGATATCCCGGGCTCGACTAGCAGAAACAGCTCTTTCTCCTATCGTTCGGTGGAGTGCTGCGAATCCTTCTGAGCTTTCCCGTGCCGAGTCCTGCCTTGTTCGGAAATAGAAGGTTTGATCCGCGGTGCCGATACCGTAACGTAAGGTAGATTTGATTGCCGATCGGGTTTCCGAATTGCATCTGAGATGAGGCAGTTGAAAGAAAATGGAACTCTTTTACTGTATTTTTTATTTCGAATTTTTGTAGTTCAAAATTAGAATTAGAAAAAAGAAAAAAAATCCTAAAATTCTCGAAATTCAAAATTTGATTYGATTCGTCTGTCCTTCGCCATACGACCCAAAATCCGACGTCAACGAGGATCGGAACGAAGATCACCCCATAGATGGAACGTGGAACCGAACGAACCGATGTCACCTTATTGTGCTACGGTATGGTATGTACGACGCAATATTCACGGCGTACTTGTGTCAGAGGTCGATGCAACTACTTGGTCTTCAGCAAGGATCCAACGAGGGAAGGCAACCTTACGAATACTCATCGAATAGAGATCCATGCTACAGATCTCGTTTTGAGTCAGTTATGCAGACTAGTTTGGGGAGTCAGGGAAGACAACAGAAAGACAATAGGAACGAGTTGCTTKCAACAACGAAGAAGCTCCTCTGATGCCTTCATACTTGTGTAACAATACTAAATACTAGTACCAGTAGTTTCGAGGCGATCATCAACTGCTGCAATTGCAACATCGGTACCAAACAATCAAMTTTAGGCATCCAGATACTAACTCGTTGTATGAATGCAATCTAKCCATCATTACTTCGCTATTAAATTCTAGTGGTGTTGTGTTTTTCGTCGGAGAAAAAGTATTGCCGGAATTACGACGACTGGCGATCAATTTGTCTGAGAGACGGTATCACATCACAAGAACTCTTTCCATTATTCACACCGAGGAATCAATAGTGCTTGGCCTGATGTCAAAGGAAGCTGGAAGGCAATCGTATTTGTTGCGGTCACCTCCCGATGTGCAATGGTTGATTGGTGCGCACAACGGTTGCGGTACCGATGCGAGCGGTTGAAAGCGGACATATTCTGTGTATCGTTCTCTCTCTCATTCGTCCTCCTCGCCGAGCTTCAGGTTCTGAAAGGTGTCCAGCAGCGTCGACGGTTCCCCGGTGACCAGGTCCTTGTATTCTTTTTGCAGGTTCCGCGTCTGGACCGCCAGTTCCTTGGCCTTGGGCAGGTCGGACTCGGAAATTTCGCCCGTGGCCTCGTCCACCATCGCGTCCAGGAGCTTGGTGATCTCGTAGATGCGGTCCTCCGTCATCTGCGCCAGCATGACGCGCTGGGTCCGCTCCTGGACCTTCATGAGGGCCACGGCGTCCTTCCCCTGCATGGCCCATTCTTCCAGCCAGTTGAACTGGCCCTCGCTCTCGCTTTCTCCTTCCGCAAACAGGGTCGTTCCGGCAACCATCGCCGTGGGTCTCGAGAGCGAYGCGGGTTGCGGCGCGAAGCAGGATGCGACGTCCGGTGTCACCATCGCCAGGGCGCAGACGAGTCCGCAGCTGTATCGTGTCATTGCGTGCTGTTGTTGCCTTTCTTGTGGAGTGCTTTCCGCGGTGATGGGCAAGGTGCGAACCGTACGGGTATCGAAATCGAAACGGAAACAGGGAATGGTGGGAGCAGACCGGGTCGGACGGAACTACCCTTCGGTTCTTTGTTTGTACCGAACCGTACCGTACGGTASGAAGTGCAACGAGGAGGGGGCGCTGGAACTCGATGTTTTGTGTTTTGTTTTGATTGAATATCGTTCCGATGACGATGATCGAAACCTCTGAAAARGGGGGGAAAGGGGGGGGAACTCGTATCGCATCCTCCGAAACAAACGCGTGCGAGTTCAGGCAGCAGGCAGTAACGTACTAGGTATTCTACATACATACTGTACGTACCGTATGATCGCACTGTGCCGAACATGGAGCGGTTAGTTTGGCGCGGATTTTTATTTTCCGCCCTCGAAAGCAATGCTCTCCTCTCCTGCTCCGAGATCTGAGAGATGCTTGCTGGTCTGAGGCAGGTCTGAGGGCTCACTGAGGCAGGTTATCTCTGTTCCATCGGTGGTATTCGTTTGTTCTACTTTCATTCCAACAACAGCAGCGGAATAAGAACAACTACACAAACTACCTTCGCATTCTCTWGCAAGCATCAGACTTCGCAACACACACCACGCACAMCAATTACTAGCCGCGACAACGAAAGAATCCCAATGCCTCCRTCTTCGTCGGACGGGACGCCCTGGGTGGAGCGCTACCGCCCCAAGACGCTCGACGACGTCTCCCACCAGACCGAGGTGGTCTCGACCCTCAAGAACGCGGTCAAGACGGGCCGGCTGCCGCAYCTGTTGCTCTACGGCCCACCKGGAAGCGGGAAGACCAGCGTGGCCCTGGCCCTGTGCAAGGAGCTCTGGCACCCGACGCAGTGGCGCCGCCGTGTGTTGGAGCTGAACGCCAGCGACGAGCGCGGAATCAGCGTGGTCCGGGAAAAGATCAAGCAGTTTGCAAGCCTGTCCGTGGGGAAGGYCGGGAGCCACACGGCCCCGCAGGCCAGGAAGGACTTTTTCGGCACCGGCAGCCACGGGAGTGCCGATGCCACGGCGGGGGAGGCATCGGAGCAAACMGGCAACACCAACGACAGCGAGGCCAAAAGCTACCCCAACCCGCCCTTCAAGGTGATCATTCTGGACGAGGCCGATACCGTTACGAAAGATGCCCAAGCCGCTCTTCGACGAATCATCGTAAGTACACTGGTAATCAGGAATGGAACCGGGGGACGAGGACAAGAACTACAAGTAATGCGATGCGATGCGATACGATACGATACGAGGGGACGAAACGGTTTCCAGTGGGAGAGGGACAAGCATTTTTCCATTCTCGCTCCCTCGTCCGCGCATCTATTCCTTTTGTTGCTCCCTTTTTGTTCTCGACTCACACTCGCCACTGCCTTTTTTCGATCTTCCACCAATCTACCGGACAATATAGGAAGCGCACTCGCGCATCACCCGTTTTATTTTGATCTGCAATTACGTAACGCGGATCATCGAGCCCCTGGCCTCCCGGTGTGCCAAGTTCCGGTTCCAGGCGCTTCCCCCTTCCACTATGAAGGAACGGGTCACGGCCATTGCCCGGGAGGAGGGCCGMAAGCAGAGCGGGGGCCGCAACGAGGCAGCGGTCATCACGGACCGCCAGATCGACGCCGTCCTGGCCGTCTCGGGGGGAGACATGAGGCGGGCCGTCACGTCGCTGCAGTCGGTCCAGGCACTGCTGGCGGGGCAGCAGCCGGGAACCGCCGCCGACATWGACGAAGAGGCCATCTACGAGCTCGCGGGTCTCCCACCCGGTGCGGTTGTCGAGGTACTCTACCAGTCGCTGCTGTCGAACAGCTTTGACACGATGCAGGCCGCCGTCAAGAACGTCCTGCACGACGGATACTCGGTTCAGACGCTGCTGCAAAAGCTCCTGGACCGGTTCCTCGAAACCGACGACCTGGACGAGCTGGGCCGGGCCAGGATCGCGATCCGGATCGCCGAGGCGGAGGACAAGATGAACGACGGGGCCGACGAATACCTCCAGCTCATGACGGTCTGCGGGTTGGCCCTCAGGTGTCTGCAGGAGAGCGCTAACAAGATGAAGCAATAGATACCGGTGAGCTCCATGCCAACCGGGAATGCGCTCGAAATGGGGCGGTGTCACGCCTTGCCAAACAAAGCAACAAAACAAAAACACCAATAGTAGAATATGTTGCGGCCTCGTGCAGCACAGASGGACAAAAATGCTGTGCTGCTTTTTACGTTGCGAACTTCACGAGAGAAATATCGCCCCTCTCTCTACTTCTTMCACAAACTCTAACACAAATAATACGAAAGAGTGCGTCATAATTTTGAATGATTATTAGCTGTGTCAGTTGCAGGTGCCTTCCGCACTTTCGATGCCGGACCTTTGAACGATCGAAAAGGAACAACACGATTCGATCTGTTATCACCGCACCCGGGTGACTTGGACCTAGACGTGTCAAAGGAGGCATACAAAAACAAATATGTGAGGAAATGGCATGCAACGCCGAGGTGATTCCAACCACACCGTAACCTCAACTTACTTCTAAATAGATGTACTCTCCAGGAACATCTTTTCGCACGTTCTGAACACGTCGCATTTGTTGTCTGCAATCAGAGAGGAATGAATAGAAGAGCACAAACTCGCTGAGCAAATCGCCGCMGCTTCATTCGTGTCGAAACGAAACGCAAAGCGCCATTCGGGGAAAACACCGGAAACAGAACCTACCTCGGCCCAAACCCAACCGGCATCGGACCCGGCTTGCCGTCCTCGAGACCATCGACGTACGCCAGGCTCGGTGGAATCAACAGACGTCGAACGCCCCCCGAGGCCATACCCTGCACGCCCTCGTCCACTCCCGCGATAGCCGTCCCGTCTCCAACGGTGAAAATAAAGGGAACTCCGTCGTAGGCCACCTGACTGCTGTCCACAAAGTATCCGTTCGATTTTCGCAGCACCTTGGTACSACGGATGGTGTTCAAAGRGTTTGACGGGAAAGACAAACTGGTCGTMAGAAATTCGAATAGGCTTCCACGACCGGTATGGAATTKATGCKTCACAAAAAAATACCATGACACGGCAGATTGATTYCTCGCGAACTCACCCATTGCAGATTGACGCGGCTCCCGGTCTTTACCACGCCGTCCTCGCTCTTGCCRGGTCTCAAGTCGGCGATGATCGTACCCGAAGGTAGTTTCTTGTACGCTTCACGAGGWACTGGTGCCATCTCGTCCATGTCCGCTAGTGCAGCCGTCCCTTGCCGATATTCTTCGGAAAGCGACTGTTGCGATGCAARTAAAACGCCAATGCAAAAARAGTGTGAGAAGCCATYCCTGGTTAGCRTGCAATAYCAATTCCCRTCAGCAAATCAAAACRAAACCGGGCGACACCGCATATCTTGCTGCTTTCTTTTTTCGTGCTCCRAAGTAGGCCCGCGTACCTTCGGGGGGTTGGGGGCGGCAAATCCCGACGATGGCATACACAATGCGCCAAGAGAAGCGGATGCAAACGCACCAGCGGCTCGACCAAGAAGCTCACGGCGCGAATCCAATCCTTCCACCACTTTCGAATCGTCAACAGACAGTTKCAATGACGGCGAAGTATTGGATAGCCTTGTCGTCGTCGATGGCAGAGARAAAGCACTGACGCCACCATCCAGGCAGAAGCTGGATATTGCAATCGCGCCGTACGCGATATAGCCCAATGTGTATTTGCGGTCGCTCATCTTGGTATGCTCGAATATTTGATTCTTCTGTTTTTCAATGAATAGTGGAGAAGCAGTGACTTCTTCAGGTATGGAATGAGTGGGAACAGAAAGCKTATCGGACAAAAGTAATAGTAAATTGGATATCTTGGCTGGTCGTTTATTTTTGATCGCGTTATTCGCGCTTGATTGCGTTGATGAAGCAATCAACTCATTCATTCCACATCACCAACACATCATGGTTATGTTTCTTGGGTGACGTGATTTCCGTTTTTGTTGTTGTTGCGTTTTTGTTTTGCAGCTGCTTCCGAGAGAGTCAGCCGACCTTGAGATCGTCACTTTTCAAAATTCAAGATGTGGAATTGGAAACGAAGGACAGACGTCCGTCCCCCCGTACACTAAGCGATCCATTGTACTTCTACCGTTACTCAGGGCAGGGGTCATAATTTAGATTTAGACCGACCCCTGCCGGCAGAGCACCTACGTACTTTTGATCGTGACCCCTGCTTTTGATTCTACTTTTCAAAATCAATCCCGACCCCATTTCTGCCCCCACCATGTTTATTTGCATCCTGAACCTTAACATATCTGCCAATCAGCCCTTCAACAACGCCGAAACTTGGGTTTGAATACGACATGTTTCATCCTTTTTTTGCGTCGCTGTAATCGTAGGTTGCTAGCAACACGCAGTTGGGATCATTCAACGGAACAAAGCCGGGAAATATTGTTTAATATGAGACATTCGTACCTGCCACTTCTGCTATCTAGGATACGGCCGCAAGCAGAACTTGCTTCTGCTTCTGCCATCAGAAGCCACCTATCTCGCTCTTCTACGAGGCTGTATTCGACCGCAGATTATCTGAGTCGATTGTCAAACACGCCGCCCTCCGCTCTCTCTTATTCCACAACAACAAACAAGCCATCCTCCGACAAAATAAATGCCTTCGATGGAAAACATACGACGTTTGAATCCTATTCGAATGCGCACGCGGCACCTCAAAATCACCGTGAGCCCGTTCGGCCCTTCCCTCTGTCGTCGAGGAAATCGATTTCGGGCTACAAGAACATCGTCCCGCCCCCCTATGCCGAGTCCGGAATCCCACCACAAGTCGACGATACCGTTCTGATATTTTCTGAGGACGAGTATCTCGCAAACATGAGGCACGCAGCAAAACTGGCACGGAGGGTCCTCGACCTCGCMTGTTCGGTGGCCAAGCCCGGCGTCACCACGGACGAAGTGGATACGGTCGTGCACGAGGCGCTCCTGGAGGCGGGGGCCTACCCATCCCCCCTGAACTATGTCGGATTCCCGAAATCTCTTTGTTCCAGCATCAACGAGGTCATTTGCCACGGAATTCCGGACACGCGCCCCCTCGAATTCGGTGATATTGTCAGCTTCGATGTGAGTTGTTTYATCAATGGAGTTCACGGAGACAATTGCGCGACCATCATAGTAGGGGACGAGCAAGAGAACGACGAGATCGGTACCGACTGGAGGGGCGTTCCCTACCTCGGCAGCGAGTACTTTGAGAACCGACCCGAAGCGGATGAGCAAATGATTCGATCGGCACGGCGGCTGGTGCACGCGGCGAGAGAATCCCTTTACGAGGCCATAMATCGGATCGGCCCCGGTTCTTGCCTCACGGACATTGGAGCCGCAGTTCAAGACGTCGCGGATTCCTACGGATATAGCACCGTCGCAAAGTACCGGGGGCACGGCATCGGTACGGACTTTCACCGCCCGCCCTTCGTCAAACACTACCGCAACTACGACAAGCTTGAGCTGCTTCCCGGCATGGTGTTTACGATTGAGCCGATGATCGTGGAAGGCGCCTCGGATTGTTTCGAATGGAGCGACCACTGGACAGTGGCAACGTCCGATGGAGGGATGTCTGCACAATTCGAGCACACTGTTTTGATTAAGGAAGACGGTGTAGAAATTTTGACGGTTCCGGAATGAGTTGAGTTTGCCCAAGCTTGATTGAATAGGATTGAAGTTGGTGTTGTGAAGAAATAAACGCGGCCCCTAGAGTATTTTGAAATCACCCAGAGCATTTGTGACCTCAAAAACAACATTATTATATACCTTGTCCCGACGTTCACATTTACCGCAAGAATGAACGCAATGCGTTCACCAAAGTATTGTTGAATTCTGCCCTTAATTTCAATTGCTGATTGAAAGACTTTACGATGTCGAACAAGGAGCATAGTAGGATAGATATATCTTCGTTTGTGATACTGAACTCTATTATAACTTAGCCTTTTTCATTTCTACGCTGTAACATTCTATTTCGTCTCCCTCCTCGAAATCCGAAAAGCCCGAGAGACCCAGACCGCATTCTTCGCCTAGCTTGACGCTTTCCACCGTTTCTTTAAATTTACGAAGACTCGAGGCAGTCACACTCTCGTCATCGGGGGAAATCAACTCACCATTGCGGTATACTCGAAAGTGGGAAGGGAGGTCAATCGTATCCGAGCCGCCAGCTGGTCCCTTTGCTCTATACATATTGCCATCCAATACGTTTAGCCCGGCTATTCGCTCTTCGCCGTCCTCGGTATCTATTGAGAATATGGCCTTCACTTTAGCGCGTCCATGTGTATGCTTTTGAGGAATCAAAGGAAGATAAGATCCAAGAACGTCTTTGGCTTCGTCCAACAGTGAATAAATGATGTTGTTGGTGCAGATTGACACATTTTCCGATTCAGCTAGGTTTACAGTAATTTGATCAACCCGCATGGAACCAAACGAAAAAATTGTGGCCTCGCTCTCTTTTGCCATCTGAATATCGCTGGGTGTGACTTCACCAATTCCTTCCATTATCGGATCGATTATCACGTTGTGCTTGGAATCATTGCCAATGTTCAGAAGCGATTCGCGGACTGCCGCTAAAGATCCATCTGCATCTGCTTTTATGATGATTGGAATACGAACACTTCCATCGGATTCTTCGATCGCAGCCTTGTTGGTAAATTTCTTGACACGCCATGTATCACCTCTTCGCATTCCAGTAATATGTAGCTCTACGTCACTGCGAGCTCCATCGGGTCGGTCATTGGTCGACAGATCGAGAGCACGCCGTTGTTCCAGCATTTCTTCTGCGATTTCTTCCGATTCGACAACCATGACTGGATCACCAGCCTTTGGAAGAGACTTGAATCCAATGATGCGGACCGGCTGGGAAGGAAGTCCATTCTTCAGCATTCTGTTGTTCACATCTTTGAGCATTCGGACTTGTGAAACCTGGTCGCCACTAACAATCACATTTCCCTTCTCGATCGTACCCCAGCGCACAATGCAATCTGCAACCACACCGAGTCCTTTTTCTTGTCTAGCATCCATGATAATTCCTTCGCCACGAGCCTTGTCATCTGCTCGTAAATCCATTATTTCGCTCTGCAGCAGTAATCCTTCCATTAAATCATCCAGGCCTTCCCCAGATAATCCCGAGGTGGGTATGACTTGCACGGGTTGCCCATATTCTGATCCCTCAGAACTCATTCCCTCCGAAACAATACCATGCTCCAAGAGTTGGTTCTCAATCCTCATCTGTGCCTCTGTCGGGTCTATTCCAGGCTTGTCGATTTTATTCACTGCTACGACCATGCTAATAACGTTCTCGGAAGAACCCTTCACAATCGATTTGTAAAACTCGATGATTTCGATGGTCTGCTCCGAAATTCCATCGTCGGCCGCAACTACCAAGACAATAACATCGGCAGCGTGAGATCCTGATTGACGCATCGCTCGAAAGGCTGCATGACCAGGTGTATCTAAGAAAGTGATCTTATCATCTTGTCCCTCCAAGGCAACTTGGAAAGCACTTATGATTTGCGTGATTCCTCCAGCTTCGGTGCCGGCTATGTCCTTCGTGACACCTCTACTGGCATTTTTTGACTTTTTAGACTTCTTCTTCTTACTTTTTGTTGTATTGCCTTTTTTGCCTTTTCCTTGTTGCTCTTGGGAGCGCCGACGAAGTGCATCCATTAAAGTTGTTTTTCCATGGTCCACGTGGCCCATTATAGTGACAATGGGTGGCCTTGGTGGGTATGTCTCCGTAGCACTATCATCAGTTGTTTTATCTTTATCAGCGTCTGATCTTCGTTGCTGCATCAAAAGCTGCTCTGAATCTACTACGACATGCTCGTTAGTCGATCGCACGGTTTCGATCCCAAAATCCATCGCTAATAATTCTAGCACGTCAATATCTAAACTATCCTCCCCCCGAACTCCCATAGCCCGAAGTTTTTCCCGGATGTCATCAACCTTCACACGAAACAAAGAAGAGACATCAGAAAGTGTCAAGGAATTGCTAACTGGTAGGGTAACAACCCTTTCAGGTGTGGTTGCGTCTACTAACTCGTCCGCATCACTGTCATCGGTTCTGGATATGCGACCTTGCAAAAACTCTTCGGCCTGCGGTGGCCTTGGCCCTCTTTGTCGTTGATCGTTTCCCCTTCTTTGACCTTTTCCATCTTCTCCAGAGAGTGGAATTGAGAATCTTTTCTGTCGCCAAGAAGCTCGGCCGTCTCTGTTGTTCTGTCGAGAAAATTGTCCCGACGAGGATTGGTCKGATCGCCCTTGTTGTACTCTTGAAGGAGCATCTTTGCGCAATTTTTTCATCATTTCTGCAAGACGAAGCGTTCCTTCRGGCTTGCTGTTGCTTTGATTATAGCTACTGCCCTTATCCGTTGGATCTCGTCGGCTAAACCTAGCAATCCCTTGCTCGTCGTTGTTAGCGGAGCGACGGCCTCTAATGTTATTATTTTGTTGGTGCGGATCCTGTCGCGGTCGTCGAGATGAATGTTCCTGTCGAGTATCATTTGGATTTCGGTTGCGATTGCGCGACATCACTTGAAGAACATCCGATAACCCTTGCTGTCGCCTTCTTGTGTTCTGATTGCTATCACCGTGATTGAAATTATTGTTGTTTCGACGCATGTTGCCATAATTTTCGTGGTTTCTAGTGCTGTTCCCACCTCTCGAACCTTGTTCGTGTCGATTTTGACGCTGACCTCGCCCTTGCTGAAAGCTAGTTGTATGTTGGCGATTACTGCTCTTTCGCTGATTCTGATTCCTATTTCGAGGTCTATTATTTCTGTTTTCAGGATTCCCAGAATCACCACGACTGCCCCGCTCCTGCTGCTCTAGTTTCTTTTTCTCTAGGGCTGCTTTCCTTTTTTCGAAGAAAAGACTGATTGGTTCCTTTTCCTTTGAATCATCGYCACCGTTGGTCGTGAGCAGAGATTCTGATGGCAAACCGTCGCGATGAGATGGTTTCGAGCTGTCGTAAATGCCAGATGACAGCGAGTAATACCGATGGCCGTGTATGAGATTTTCTGGCACTGCAGAAGTATGGCTCTGCTCTGATAACTCGCACAACCCTTCGATCCGACCAAAAAAACCTGATGGTGCATTTTCAATGAGTCGGCGGCCCAATCGTGCTCTTTTAGCAGCACATCGAATCATTTTTTGAGTGTTTTCCGATACGTTGGAGTATGTATTGGCGTGCACGAATTGTTTTCTTTCGATTTTATGCGGTCAAGTGCAGTGTTAGCGTTAGCAACTTCAATCGATTCGCTATCGAACATGTGCGTTCTGCTATCCTTGTCATTAATCTTTTCCTAGCGGTATTGACATTACTCCAATAGAAATGATAATGCAGGATTTAAATAAAATAAACATGTAAACATCGAAGTTTGGTCTCGTCACATCGCCATCCACAGGTTTTTCAAAAAAAAATTGCGAATATTGTAGCACATTATGATACTCTAACGTAGGTTACCTACGCTACTACGGGTAATATTATTTGTACCAGTTAGTGGTATGAACTTCATGGTTACGAGTACGAGTACGGTACCGAGCCTACGAACGGTACGAAGTGGTAAGATAAGAACACGAAGGAGAATCCTACGGGATGTTCTACGCGTTCTACTACGTACCGTACGGACAATACGAATGTCGTAATCTGTGCGGCTAAATCACGAGTAGCTAGTGAGTGAGCCATATCCTCACTCTTTATTGTAAACCAAGTATTATCATACACTAGAGAGCCTATCAGCATTTCACAGGTTATGAGCAACAAAAGACCACTTACCTCAACTCATCAACCATCATCAACCATTGAATCATTGTGACATCGCAGAGGAGACCCTTTCCCTCACCTTCGGAACGTCCACACACCGAACACCCAAGACCCGAGGAAGAAAAGATCTCCCCCACAAACAACAAAAACTCAAGAGAACCCAGTACTACATTACGTACCACCCTACGTCATTCTTCTCTGAACACCGGTGTCAACAAAGATCAGTTCTGAAAGATCACCAGCCTGAAAGATCTTCTCCGAAAGATCGACAGACACACTAAAACAATAACGACAAACCCAAGCAAGAACATACTCCACAACAGCACATTATGCCATCAAAAAGTCCATCCAAAACCAAACCTGGTCGCCCTCGACAGAGCCGGGGAACACCAAAGGAATCATAATCATCTTTTTACAGAAGAAATTTCGGGATTGAACATCGTCACGGTTTCGTAAGGATGATTCCTTGCACTTTTAGAAGCTTAGTTTCTATTAGAAAGTCTGCCATTTTCATCATTTTTTAGTGTTCAAACAGTATGATAGAAAAAATTCTAGCTTAACCTATGAACCATATTGATATTTTTTATGGTCCTCTAAGGTTACACGCTAAACTCACAGATACCAGCCGAAAGGGTCGATCGCGTCAAAGTCGGCGTCCTGTTTCTTCAATGATTTCTTGCTCTTTAATTTCTTCATTGCTTTCCAATCTTCTCGATACGGACAATCATGAAACCAATGCTTCCCATACTCATACTCGTCATTACCTGTGGCAGATGAGCCATGTCTCTTACGGTGGAACTCGCACCCTGGACAAATGTAATACTCTGGAGGTTCCCGCAGACGATAGCAAGCAACGTGCCATTTTTTCTCTTTCTCTGGGGGGCGGTTACTCGCATTCGCCGGTGATGTTGAGGGCATCACAATCAATTCAATCATGCGCCGGAGAGTGCCGTCGTGTTCGACGTATGTCGTCGTCTTTGAGTACGATCTAGCTATCGCAGCATCGTCGACTATCAACACAGTCTTTTTCTTCCCAAATATACTATTTGTCCGTGCAAAAGTTTCCGGGTTCAACACTTCGCCTTGGATCCAGAATTTCGTTTCTATCGTTGCATCGCAAGAAAAATTATCATCGTTGTCAATCCCATCAGGGTCTCTCGTGGTTGTTGCGCTACTTGCATTGGCTTTCCCTGTAGCGAGCCAGTCTGCCCAAACTTCTTTCTTGCAGAATACTTCCGCAGAGTTCGCAGCGAATACGAACCGATTGAGGTTCGGGTGGTCTAGAATAAATCCGGGCAAATCAGTAGGGACCAGACTTCCCTTGACAAGGTTGCTGTCCAAGCTTCCCTTTCGTTTCGCTTGCGACAAGACGTCCCAAACGGCGTACCCCTGGTCCGTCAGAATATTTACTTGGTCATTGAAAGCTATTTTGTGTCGATGAAACCCAAACGCGCTCCCAACGATGTTCCAAAAGGAGTTTCTCGAATGCCCGTAATTTTGGTGGCCGTCCCCACCCCGTAAAAGAATTTCTTTCTTGCTCAAATTTTGACCATACGACTTGTCGCTTGGTAGCGTTCCAAGGATAAGAGTATGTACACCGAGAGGATCACCCTCTAGTGCTGAAAAGGATTCAAGAACGTCCAATCCGTCGCTGATGAATTTTCGTTTCTTGCTGCTATACATTTTATGGCCTCTACTTGCACAGTTGTTTACCTCCCGGTGGGTGTTTTTTTGCGGCGATATTAACGCACACGAGTCTGAGGCGAATAGCAAACTCGCTACGAAAGTAATCACAACTTTGACAGCGTCGAACAACATGTGCTGTCTGTGGGATTTTGTTGGATGAAATGGACTCGGGAGCGTGGAGTGAGCCGTTCAGAATTGTCGTATCGTAGCCCTCGAYGAACTATCAAAAATAACTAAATCCTAGAAAAATATTGTATTCATTTTAAAAGGGTCATTCCGATTGCTCCCGGTTTGTTCTTTCTACTATCGCCATCAGCAACCGATAGTTTCTTCACTTCAACTGAATGATGGAGTATGATTGTACCGGTATCATTATTATTTTTTGAATTACCTCTCTTCGACAGTAAATTTTTAAGTGACAGTAATTCCGCAAGAATTTATTTCGCGCCAAACACTGCACGATTGCGAGTACCTTACGTACTCCTCGTACT